CTGAGGAACAAGGAGTTCCAGACCCACACCAGGCCCCTCAGCCCAGTGCCAGGAAGAGAAGCACCCATAACTTCTGGCTGTAAAAACCAGAGGGGATTGAGACTGAGTGAGACGGGGCTGCTGGAGCCCAGGCATTCCTCTTAAAGGGCCCATGCATGGACTCACTTGGATTCACTCTCAGCTACAGCGCTGGGGCAGCAACTTGAAAGGCACCAGGGACATCCAGGGAGAAACTGAAGGGGCAGCATTCTCCCAGACGAGGTGCTGATAGAGGCCATTGTTCCTTTTTGAGCCTTCCTCCCACACAGCCATCTGGCAGGTGCCATATTTGAGTCGCCATCAACCTAACTAACACTGTTCCCCCCACCCTGGTGATTCCCTGAGACCCTGCCCCACCACTTTGTGAGCCCACCCAACCTGTTTCCAGTGGCTTTTCCATACAAATGGCCTGTCTTGACTCTTGCTTCAGACTTTCCTAAAATCTCTCAATCAAACAGCATCTAACTTCAGTGGCCATGGGCAGAGCACAGGCCTTGGCTGACCTTGGTCCGTACCCCCTTGGAGGCCCCCCTGGAGTGCACTTGGTGGACAGCTTCAGACCATATCTAAGCACCACCCAACCACCTTCACAAGCCACACATTTGAGGGGTGAACTCAGCAGGCACCAGAGCCCCACTGAAACATGTACTGATCCTCCATAGTGATCGCAGCCAGTCCTTGCAACTGATGGGCTTTGATGAGGCTGCCAAAATAAGGAGACAAAGAAGTATATTCCAAATGAAAGAAAAGAACAAAAATCCAGAAAAGGAACTAAACAAAGTGGAGACAAGCAATTTACTAGATGCAAAGTTCAAAACACTGGTTATGCCTGGCTGGTGTGGCTCAGTGGTTAACCAGGAGGTCACAGTTCCATTCCTGGTCAGGGTACATGCCCAGGTTGTGGGCTTGGTCCACAGTAGGAGAGCATGCAGAAGGCAGCCAATCACTGATTCTCTCTCATCATTGTTTCTATCTCTCCCTCTCTGAAATCAATACAAATATATTTTTAAAAACACCACACTGATTATAAGGATGCTCAATGAACTTAGTGAGAACCTCAACAGCATAAAGAAGGATGTGGAAACCATAAAGAAGAACCATCAGAAATGAAGGATACACTAACTGAAGTAAAGAATAATTTATAGGAACTAAATAGTAGAGTAGATAGAGCCAAGAATCAAATTGGCGATTTGGAGTTTAAGGAAGCAAAAAACAGCTAATCAGAATAGCAGGTTCAAAGAATCCAAAAAAATGAGGATAATGTAAGGAGTCTCTGGGACAACTTAGTGTACCAACATTTGCATCATGGGGGTGACAGAAGGAGAAGAGAGAGAGCAAGAACTTGGAAACCTTTTATATATATATATATATATATATATATATATATATATATATATATAAATTAATTTCAGAAAGGAAGGGAGAGGGAGAGATAGAAACATCAATGATGAGAGAGAATCATTGATCAGCTGTCTCCTGCACACCCTATACTGGGGTTTGAGCCTGCAACCTGGGCATGTGCCCTGATGGGGAAGTCTAACCATGATTCATAGGTCGACACTCAACATTGAGCCACATGGGCCAGGCTGAAAACCCATTTGAAAAAATGACAGAAAACGTCCCTAACCTGGTGAAGAAAATAGACATAGAAGTCCATGAAGTGCAGAGAATACCCAACAAGATGAACCCAAAGAGACCCACACCAAAACCCTTTATAATTAAAATGCCAAAAGTTAAAGACAAAGAGAGAATCTTAAAAGCAGCAAGAGAAAAGAAGTTAGTTACCTACAAGGGAGTATCCATATGACTATCAGCTGATTTCTCAGCAGAAACTTTGCAGGTCAGAAGGGAGTAGCAAGAAATATTCAAAGTGATGAATAGTAAGGACCCTACACCCAAGATTACTCTACCCAGCAAAGCTATCATTTAGAATTGAAGGGCATATAAAGAACTTCCCAGATAAGCAAAAGCTAAAGGAGTTCATCACCACCAAACCAATATCACATGAAATGTTGAAGGGTCTTCATGAAGAAGGAGAAAGAGGAGGAGGAGGAGGAGGAGGAGGAGGAGGAGGAGGAGGAGGAAGAGGAGGAGGAGGCAACTTATCAAAATATGAACAATAAAATGGCAATAAATATATATCTATCAACAATTGAATCTAAAAAAACACACAAAATAAATGAACAAGCAGAACAGAAACAGACTCAGATACAGAGAACATTTCAATGAGAGGGGGGTTTGGGGGTAGGAGTGAAAAGGTGAAGGGATTAAGAAGTACAAATTGGTAGTAACAGAACAGTCAGAGGGATCAAGTCTGCAACCTGGGCTTGTGCCCTGACTGGGAATTGAACCATGACCTCCTGGTTCATAGGTCGATGCTCAACCACTGAGCCACACCAGCCAGACTGAAAGGCTTTAATGTAGAAAATTAAAGGTTTATAAAACTGTTGGAAGTGCTGGAGGAGTGATATCTCAGTTTGTACTTGGAGTGATCCTCAAAAGGTCACCTATAAGTGGCTACAAATGAGAAGCTCACATAATTATCATTGTCATGTGTCCCCAACCTAATTGTAAAGAAGACTGTGATTAATATGGATTCAGTTTGTGTCCCGAGCACAGGAGGGTGAAAGCAGTGGAGGGCATTCAGAGTGATATTGGAGCTGCGCAGCATAGCCTCCTATTGTTTCTACCCCCCTCCCCCCACCCCCATCCATTCTTCTCTTCTTCCTGAGAAAGACAGCTTTTTCAAGCTGGGAATATAGTCATCCGGCATAAAGACTACATTTTCCAGCCTCCTTTCCAGCTATGTGTAGCCATATGACTACGTTCTGGCCAATGGGATGTCAGTAAAGTGTTAAGAAAAATTTCTGTGATGTGCCTTTAAAGGGAGTGAACATGCCCTTCTTTTCCTTCTTCTTGCTGGCTAGGAAGTGGACTTGATGGAGGAGCTGCAGCAGCTGAACCTCAGACATGAGCCTCTGCAGGGTCTCAGCAGAGCTGCTGGGGAGAAGGGACAATAGTGCAACAAGACAAAAGGAGCCCTGGTTGGCTTGTTTCCATCAGAAATAAAATTCCATTTTGTTTAGGCTCTTCTCTCCCACTCACCCCCCCCCCCCCTTTTGTCATTGTACCTGAGCCTGATCCTATGTAATACAAACTAAATCTGGGGGAAAAGAAAGAAAAGAGTATAAGTTCACCAAGGAATAGAATATTTCACAGAGGAACAGCATGTGCAAAGGCTCGGAGTTCTGGAAGTGGTGGTGTGCTCAGGAAATGCCAGGGGCTTTGTGTGGCAGGAGATGACATGGAAGTGGGTTGGATGAGCCACAGCAGAGGATGGACCGATCAGGCAGGACTGTGGCAGACAGAGCCTCTGGAGGCTGAGTGTGATTAAGGTGAGAGACAAGGGGAGTGTGATGCGATTGGTGGTGGAAATAGGGAGAGGGGATCCATTCAAGACACAGGAGCAAAACTCAGGAGTTTATTTACTATTTTTTAAAAATATATTTTATTGATTTCAGAGAGGAAGGGAGAGGGAGAGATTGAAACATCAATGATGAGAGAGAATCATTGACTGGCTGCCTCCTGCACGCCCCCTACTGGAGATTGAGCCCGAAACCCAGGCATGTGCCCTTGACAGGAATCGAACCTGGGACCCTTCAGTCTGCAGGCTGACGCTCTATCCATTGAGCCAAACCAGCAAAGGCAAAACTCGGGAGTTTATAAGTGTGGGTGTAAGTATATGGAGTGGACAAGTCATCAGAGAAGGCCTGGGCTTCCTGGCTCCCCTCCTCAGAGGCCTGTGGGTGAAGGCCAGCCTCTCCCCTGAAGAAGTCTACTCTTGACCCAATTCTTTGGGCCCAGAGTCCCTGGTCCAGGTTCTGCCTCTCACCACCTCCTCTTCTCCCCCCTGACTTCCTGCTTGTTCCAGGATTATTTCATGAAGGGGAGGTGCGAGGGTCTTTGCCCTGTGAATGCTGACTCTCCCATCTGCCCAGGAGCCTGTAGGGGAGCTGCCAAGGCTGCTAGGGTCAGGCGGGCAGCTGGCCACTGCCCCTGGCTGGCTGGGCACAGTGCCTCCGGGCAGTTGAGTAAGAGTGGGCTCCAGCAGACAAACAGGCTTGTAGCTATCTCTGGGCCAGCCAGTTGTGAGTGGGCAGGTTGGAGGTTAAAGGGTTTGGGGTGAACTGGGTGAGGAGTTGGGCCACTCCTTGTAAACTTTCCAAGAAGCCCTAGTCCACTGGGACAGCCCCTGAGATGGGGGCACTCATTAACCCTGTGGGTGCCAGGAAAGGGCAGGAGGTGAGCACTGGGAGGCCGCTGAGGTCATCTTTCTTTGAACTTCCACGTGATATTTACTCAAAGGAATTGCTGCCAGAGGCCCAGGCCCTGGAATATAAAGCCGAATGTCTGCTCTCTGTGCCCAGAACTGAGCAGGTGAGCTGCTGGGGCAGAGGGCGGAGGGCAAGGGGGACAGAGTCCCCTGGAGGACTGCAGGGTCTCAGCAGAGCTGGCGGGGAGGAGGGACCAGACCCACGTGGAGCACCACGTGGCAGAGCTGCTTCTTGCCCTGGGCATGCCTCTGCTCCCAGCCACCCAGGGGGGCAGGAAGAGGGGGGTGAGGGCCAGCAGCCCTCCCCTAGGAAGCTCTTCTGGGGCCTGGCTGGGGAGGAGGAGGGGGAGCCTTTACAAAACAGTTCGAGCTCCACCTCCTTGAGCTCTTTCCCTCCCTTGGGAAAGACACCCTTCTCTTCCCAGCCACACTCACCTGCCTCCATCCTGTCACCACGAGCCCCTACAGTCAGTCCTCAGGGCTCTGAGCTCCCTACGCCCCAGGGAAGTGTTCACAGACTTGGGGCAGGCTGACCCTGGGACTGACACCTGGGCGATGTCCCTGTCTTTGCTTCCTCACCTTAACCAGGCCTCCCCGGCCTTCCTTCTCAAGACAGGCAATGGCCCGCATGACTGCAGCCCTGGCCTGGGCGCTGGCACTCCTCTCAGGTGGGTCTCCCCCCTGGCAGGGGTGAGGAGGTGAGGTGGAGGCTGGCCGGAGGCCCGCACTCACCCCTGCCTTTCCACAGCGTTTCCCACCGCCGAGGCGCGGAAAGGGCTCAGGGTGGACTCCGGGTCAGAGCAGCGGGGACAAGGGCAGGGTGGGAGCAGACCCAGCAGCAGAAGCTGGCCCGGGAGTCCGCGTGAGTGCCCGGGCAAGGGGCGCGGGGAAGGGAGGAGACAGGCCGTGGGATGATGGCTGCCTCTGATTCCTCAACCCGCGGTCTGCTCCTGCTGCGGAGCAGAGGAAGCAAGCTGCCAGCTCCCCCTCACCCCCCCAATC